TGAGGTACCACAAATCTGTATATGTACATACAAGCCAGGCTGCATACAGGAAGCCAAACAACTCGTGAGGCATAATGAAAGGCACAGAAAGTTCAGCTGCAGATTTTCTGTCGACTTCGGAGTAGATCGGAATCTTGATGAAGTGCAGATCCTCGGCTATGCTAGTAATTTTGAAGATCCTATCCAGATCTAGAGGTTGCGACACTAATAGAGCCGTCTAGAATAACAAAACTTCACTAGCGAACATAATCTAAGTGCAGCAAGCTTCGAGGGGTAAGTTTATGGCCCGTGCGATGTCACGGGAACAATTCTGGCGATGCCTTCCCCATGTTCCGGATGCCGCTATTTTTCTTGTAAGAAGAGAACCTTGTCCCGACTCTTGGAGCATCGCCTGCGCTGCTTCTTGCAACTCTGCAGCGCTGCTAGCCTGGGCTTCTTCCAAACTTATGACGACTAAGAACCGATCCCCAGGATGCTGCAGCCAGCTGTCGGAGATGCTGGTGGTTTGAAACCCGAACTCATTCTATTGGGTCTAGGGGTTTAGAGTTTAAGGCTTGGGGTTTGGGCAAGTTTAAGGTAGTCGTTAATGATCTTGGTTCTATTGGGTTTAGGGATTTAGAGTTTAAGGCTTGGGGTTTAGGCAAGTTCAAGGTAGTCGTTCATGATCTTGGGTGTCGGGTTTTGCAAACTTCGGCTTGGAGGACAGGTATAGCTGTACTGCCACGACTTCTGATTTCAGGCCTTAGGGAGGGACGGTGCATGTGCGAGGCTGAAATCTGGGAGTCTGGAGAAGCCTTGAAACCCAAAATACAACCCAGAGTCCTGAATCCTCAACCTATAGTGTCTTTGAAAGCCCGGTAGCCCCAAACCCCCAATAGCAACCAAGCCCCCGAAGCTGAAATCCGCCTGACCAGCTAGTGACCTTGTTCGCCCCGTAGCCCCAAACGCCCAAAAAAGCAACCAAGCACCCGAACCTGAAATCCGGCCTTGAAACCCAAAGTGAACAGAAGTCCTAGACCAAGACTGAGCAACCCAAAAGTCCTGAATCCTCAACCTGCTGACCTTGAAAGCCCCGTAGCCCCGGCCCAGTACAAAGGGTCTAGGGTTTTCGGGTTTTTGGGTTGTTGGGATTAGGGGTTTAGGGCTTCAGGATGTTATAACTGTGTTGATTGTGATGGCTATAAATTTGTGGCCTAGTTGTAGGATTTCAGATCGAGGCTTTCTTGGGTACTTGAGGATTTTAAGACGAGCTATATAGTTGTGCAACGTTTAACCAAGCTCCTAGATTATCCGGGACTAACACAGATACCGGTTTTACCGGCCCAGTACAAAGGGTCTAGGGTTTTCCTGTTTTTGGGTTGTTGGGATTGGGGGATTAGGGCTTCAGGATGTTACTGTGTTGATTGTGATTTCTATAAATTTGTGGCCTAGTTGTAGGATTTCAGATCGAGGCTTTCATGGGTACTTGAGGCTTCTAAGACGAGCTATATTGTGCAACGTTTAACCAAGTTCCTAGAATTATCCGGGACTAACACTGATACCGGTTTTACCGGCCCAGTACTAGGGTTTTCGGGTTTTTTGGGTTGTTGGGATTGGGGGTTTAGGGCTTCAGGATGTTACTGTGTTGATTCTGGTTTCTTTACATTTGTGGCCTAGTTGTAGGATTTCAGATATTCGAGGCTTTCATGGGTACTTGAGGATTTTAAGACGAGCTATATAGCAACGTTTAACCAATATCCTAGAATTATCCAGAACTAACACAGATACCGATTTTACCGGCCCAGCACAAAG